TGTGCATATACAAAGAGTGACATGCATGTCTCACCTCAGGCACTCATCTGCCCGAGTTCTGACGAGGACCTTAGATCCAGTGTTGTGTTTTGTTTTGCTTCGACCCGAAAGATGGCAGAGGCTGAGCCAGCTCGAAAGAAACGACGAGGAGGCACACACCAACGAATGGAGCAGGCCGCAGCGGATGTGGAGAGAGACTCGGCTTTGGAAAGCCTCCTGCTGGAGTCTTTCGCTTCAGGCGAAATTTCCGGCGCTTTTTGTCATGCACTCATGCAAGCCGCCGTGCAAGACATCAAGACGGCCAGGGATGATGGTGCCACCTTTCCTCTCATGGAGAAGTTGGCGAGTGTGAAGCATGGTAAGAACTTCCAGCAGTCCTTGGAACTCGCACTGCAACGGAAGTCCAAGCTCGTGCAGCCGACCCAGGTCAGCATACCCCTCAAAGGTGGACCCGAGGACAGACCATCCTGCAACATCCTGCTTCCCCATGAGATGTTGCATGGAATGTTTGTTAGTGGAGGTGGCTGGGAGAGATGTGTCGTGCCAACAGCCGACCTACTCCCGAGGTTCTGGGCTAGCTTCCGGGATCATCCCTGCATGTCTGGGCACCCCATCCTGGGACGAGCTGATTACCACGAGAAGGCCATCCCACTTTGCCTCCACGGCGACGAAGTCCCGGTGATGGGTGTGGGCAAGATCTGGTGCCACTCGGCTTTGCAGTTCAGCTTCAACAGCATGTTGGCGACTGCGGCCGGGAGATCGGCAGAGGATACCCAGATGTTCATCTTCGGCATCTTCGAGAAGTTCGTGTTGCCGGAGACGATGCCTGCATTCTTCGAACTCTTGAGGTGGAGTTTCGAGGTTTGCCTGGCAGGCAAATGGCCAGCCAAAGATTGGCGAGGAATCAGGCACTCGTATGCATTCTGATTGGTTCCCTTTATTTTATGTAGGGTGTGCTGTTTTGGAATTGCCTTTGTTTTGGGGTCCTGACAAGCAGGTATCCCCCAGGCACACCCGAAGCTCGTCGAAGCGGC